CGGTAATATTAAAAGCACAAAATGGCAGTCCACATTTTGGAAATTCCAAGACCAAGGAAATAATGTTACATTTAAAGGGAGTGACCGGCAATGTATGGTAGTTGAACTGAGAATGTAGTATTGTGGAGAAATTTTTTTAGGATTCATTTGAGACATATAAAATGTTTTAATGAAGTATAAATACTGAGTTTGAGCGAAAAGTCGACGTTCAAAATCATACCTTTGGGTTGCTACGTCTGGAGAATCGATTTTTTTTAAATTATCAAAGGACGACGACAAAAAATGTAAAAAACAATACTAAATTAAACTTATCAGATGTTTAGGAACTTATTTCTCAATTTAAATTTTCTCAATAAATCAATAATTTCTAATAAAAAAGTTCTCCACAATACCACATTCTCAGTTCAACTACCATACATTGGCGGTCACTCCCTTTAAAAGTATATTTAAGAAGAAATAAACTGCACATTTTTTAGAGGTTATAGTCGACCTTTAAGTCGTCTCTCAGCTGACATGAAATCGTAAATTTACCAGATTTAAATTGATAGAAGCCAAACATACAGAAAGACCCATAATCGTCTTTCTATTTTCCAGTTTTTTTGTTAAATTTCAAAATCCCCGTCTTCTTTATTGCATTATAGGTGCAGTATTTTTTTCTGGGATAAACTGGGTCTTCTGCCTTAAATATAATTTTTATGCTAATTTTTATTGATTGGGCAAAAACAGAAACAAGGTTTATATTTGCAATGAATCATATAAACGGAAACAGACGGTACATTCTGTACAATCGTCTCATGGAGCCTCATCCGTAAAATATTTTTGATACCAAAAATAAAAAATGTCTATCATGCTTTGTTTAATGACCCTAAAATGACAGAATTGACTGAACGTTTTCGATGTAGCTCAAAATTTCTGAGCCCTGAGTTTCATTGTGAACTTTTTCGCATATGAATACGGAATCGATTTTAAGTGCCTAAATTGTTGCTAAACTGTAAAAAAAAGTCTTTTCCGACATTAAACATTTATATTTCTCATGTTTTTTTTTGTTTCAGTGTGATATGTACTATTTTTGTCTGTTTTTAATATATTTTACAAATCAAATATCCAAAAAATTGAAAAAGTAATTTGGAAATCATAAATAAAAATCTATTAATGGTTTGTTTTTGTTTATTTGAGTACATTCGTTTTGACACAAAGAAGAAAATCTTTTGTGAAAAGTTTGTTTTTTATTGATCTGAAGTGGACACACTTTTCTACAACTACTAGGCTTTTAGGGCGCTTCGTGCTCATCTTCTATTTTAACTTTTGTGTCTCTATCTGTGAGCATCTTCTCTTTGTACAATATGGAACAATAACAAAAAAGTTTGCACTGCCATTGGTGAAAGTTGTGGTCACGTAATACAGACGTCTCAATTATATTATCAATTATATCTATTAAAAAAAATGAAATTCAAATTATAATAGGCGCATACCTAAGTTGGTTGGGCTCCTCTGGGTTATCGTAATTTCCAGATACGTTGCGTATTTGCTGAATCTTGTTGACTTTAAAAGTCAATATGATAAAATAAAAGAGATCTAAATGGATATTTCTAACATTTATTTAATAAAACGAAAGTTTTGAAATAGTTTCCCAAGTGGGGTTAAAATTGGTTGGTTTAGAAATTAACAAAGGAATAAATGATTAAACATTTTTATTAGGAAAATGCACTGAATTTTCTATCAAAAAGTTTTATATAAATGGATAAACACGTCTTGAGAAAAGGCTACGGCATTTGAGTCGGTAAAATCGTCTTCCTTATATTTCGAATTTATGTTAACAGATCTGTTTAAAACTTTGATTTATACACTACATCTCATATATCTAAGTTTTGGTTGACACATTTTTATATCAATTTCTCGAGACAGGGATATCAGATAGAACTCATATAAGTCGCGATCAACTCCTTGAGTGGTCATGTTTTATCCTGTACCCCCTTTCATTTTTACTTAAAAGTTCCTTTAAGATCAATTCTAATATTTTGAGAACAGAGAAACTTACAATATCCCTTCTTTTTAAAATTAAATGATTTTATCAACTATTTTTGAGCTATAACAATACTGTGACAAATTGAAATTAAAGATAGAAATTCGTTGAACTCAACCTTGCAGGTGTAGTTTTATAAAAAATTTGTTTGGAAAACTGATTATTTGTATGCTTTATTTTGAGTTTTTACAGGCATTTGCATACTTTTCGTGTCATTTTTCTTGTCTTAAAAATCACTTTGGGCTATTCGTATATAGTAAAAAAAATAGTCTGTATAAATATCATTTATTCATTTATGGTTTCTAGCAGCTTTAATTTAATCACAACATGATATCTATTCTAAACAGAATTTTAAAATGTAAATTTCTTCAGTTAAACCGGAAATATTGAAAGGTAATTTTTTTGTTATTTTGTTATTTATTACATATATATATATACATTACAATCCAAAATATTTACTCAATAGCTTAAGTTATAAGACAACAAATTTAACACATACAAAATATCTATCTAAAATAAAACTATGTGTGTGTAAAATTAAAATCTTTCAATTTTTGAGGTTTTCAGGTCCCAACAAATATTGCTTGTATGTAGCGCACTCCTTCTACATGCACTTTATCAAATTTTTAATAATTATACATAATAAAATGATAAACTTTGACAATTTTAAAATTTATTCTTTATATTCAACGAACTTTAGGGAGGCTTACAATTTTTACAGGGGATCCCCCCCAACAAAGTAAAAAGAAGTTTGTGCGGGAGGGGGTGCAGTTGAGTCGTCACCGTTGTCCGTTTCGTTTTTGCGTGCTAATTATCCTTACAAATTACAATCAGATTTTAAACAACATATCTATATATAAATTTAGCTTGTCTGTTTGTTTGTTTGTTTATATCCAATAAACGTCAAAATGGCTCTACCGATCGTGGTCCAAAAATCGTTCACTAGGACAGACCCACTAAAGTTTATTTAGTACACTGTTAAAATACTGGAGTTTTTGCGGTACATTGTTGAAATACCAGAGTTTATTTTGTAAACATAAACTGTTAAAATACTGGAGTTTTTGTAGTACACTGTCAAAATACTGGAGTTTTTGCAGTACACTGTTAAAATACTGGAGTTTATGTTGCACACCTACACTGTTTAAAGAATGGAGTTTATTTATTATACGTACATTGTGAAATTCTGGAGTGTAGTACACTGTTAAAATACGGGAGTTCAATTAGTACAAGTTATTAAAATACTGATGTTTATGTAGTACACTGTTAAATACTGGAGTTTATGTTGTACACGTATACGTTAAAATACTGGAGTTTATGTAGAACACTGTTAAAATACTGGAGTTTATGTAGTTAAAAAGAGATTTGTACGAAAGTCATAAAATCGGAAATATTTTTTAACGAATCATTATTTGTTTCCGAAAAAAAAATTTTAACCTCGTAATTTCGTTTAAAATCATTTGTTTTTATTTAGGAGTGGGGAGAGAATCACCATTTTAAACACAGAGGTTAGATGATTTCGTAAAATAATTCTTCGAAAATCAATTCAGTCTCGTCAGGCAGAATTTAAAGTATTTAAACCGCTTTGTTGAACCGCCAAATACTTGTTTCAAAAAAGCGCCGGCTCAAATCTTGAAACAATGAATACAATTTCTAATGGAACCAACCATGTTTGAGACGCGGCTCAAGAGTCAAATTCTTTAGATTCAGCCTCTGCTCTTTTGGCCATAGATGAAATTATAATTTTCAAAATTTTTGGACATTTTGTCATTGATCTAAAGTTTGGTATAAAAGGGTTTTGTTTTCATTATATTACTTTAAACTTAATTAAATTTGTTTGTGATATTTTCCAATTCCATATTACTAGAACTGAATTAGACTACATAGCAGAGGGTGTCCAAGTTAACATGGACATTAATTGCCGACTTAGATTTTCGATGAGCAAAGAAGGACATGTAAAGTTATGTATAGTCTATAGCCTTTACTATGAACAAAAGATTGTATGGCTTCTGATTCTATTTCTAAAATGGGGCTCACCTTGTAATTTGTTGTAGTTGAACAGACAAATTTATTGGAAATTTTGGAAACTTTCCTTCTAAGGATTTTTGTGTCCGTGTCCCTCTTGTTTAAATTAGTGTTTTTATAATATTGTTTTGTTAACAATTTTTCAATATGACTGGACCATTAAATTATCCCTTTCATGGGTTCATATCAGTTACTACAAAAAGTTGAACTTTTTTGACGTTTATTGGATTAACACATACAAATTAGACAGACGGTTCAATTTGATTTATAGATTACTGTTAAAGGGCTAAAAGTACAAAGTGAAAAAGTAGCATACCACATTTTGTAAATCCCAAAATTAAGATTTTAAACTGTGGTATGGTTGGTATGTATTTATTGACACCATGTACACTTTATGAAGGTTGGGGATGGTTGGTGGTTTGGAAGAACAGAATCAGGTGCTGAAGGTTTGTTTCCTGCCTCCTATGTTGAAACTGAACCTGAGCCAGGAACAATCTCCAGCTCAAGCTCAAGGAAAGAAGATGATATAGATTAAACAAAAGAAAAGAATTAATTGGCGAGCACTGCTAGGGGAGCCTGGGAGGTCCTATCAACGTGTTAGACTTACTAAAAACTTTGATTCTAATAAAAAAATTATCTAAAATAAAAATTTTTATTTTAGCCCCAGGGTAAGAAAAGATAAGTAATTAATTTAAAATCTACATCTATATGTTAGGATAGCTTAAACAACAGCGTTATCTTAGGAATACCAAGCCTTCAGTAGTATTTCCTAAGGTTTTCATTTGTGTCACGTTGATTAGTTCCTTTAAACAATTTAATTTTATCGGCTTTCAAGTGACCCCCAGAAGTCTAAGATAATTTTATTCTTTAAGTTTGCTTTTATCAAATTAGACGAAATCTCGACTCGGGCAGAATATATTAGATATTAACAGAGGTAAAATCCAACCGTTAATGAATGCTTGATTTCTGTTCTTTTTTCTTCCGTTCAGGCTTAACTTCCGTTCAGGCTTAACTTCTGTTCAGGCTTAACTTCCGTTCAGGCTTAACTTCCGTTCAGGCTTAACTTCCATTCAGGCTTAACTTCCGTTCAGGTTTAACCTCCGTTCAGGTTTAACTTCCGTTCAGGCTTAACTTCCGTTCAGGCTTAACCTCCGTTCAGGTTTTACTTCTGTTCAGGCTTAACTTCCGTTCAGGCTTAACTTCCGTTCAGACTTAACTTCCGTTCAGACTTAACTTCCGTTCAGACTTAACTTCTGTTCAGACTTAACTTCCGTTCAGGCTTAACTTGTTAAACAAACAAAAAACTTAATGTTTAAAGAACGGATCATCTTGATTGTAATCATCTGTACTTGGATAGACCAAACAGTTTTGAAGATACTGGAGCATGGAACAGTACAGCTGCTATCCAAGACACATGGACTAGTAGTTCAAGTTCTTATAGACCAGACCCTGGCTGGGGAATAGCACCTCTACCTAAATCTCAAGGTGGTATCATATTCAAAAACCTTTTTTTTCAAATTGCCTGATTAATGTTGCTGATGAAAAAATTACAGCCTTCGGGCTACTAAAAGATTTTTTTAAAAAAATCTTGAAAATTTGTTTAATTGATTAAAAAAGTGCACTTTTTGTGGTTACTTACATTTTTTCCTCTTTTAATAGTTGCACAAGATGATTTCTCTTCTGAAGAGGACAGTTCGTCCAGGTAAAATATTCTAACATTGTCCCCCCTCGCAATCTTGATTTAAAAAAAAAAATTTTAATTGAACTGAACAATTCCCAGAAAAAAAACTCGAGAAGAAAGACAAACTCAGGATATATTTGTCCTGTTAAGAAATTTTCATTCTGGCTTGTCCTCGGGCATTTTTATCAGTAAAGTTTACCTTTCCATGAACTGTCTAAGTGGTATAAATATCTTAAGAAATTCTAAGAGAAGAAAATTTTAAAAATTCTTTTAATGTCAAACTCTTCAGTGCTACTCCTGCTCCTATGTACACAGTTGCCAAGAAACCAAGCCAACAACAGTCAAGGTATCATTATTATTAATATCTTTTATTATAATTGTTATCATTTTTATCATCTTAATCATCATCATTATAATCATTACTATTATTATTATTATTATCATCATCATTATTTATCATTATTATTAGCATTATTATTATTATCATTATTATTAATATTATCATCATTATCATCAATTTCATCATAATCATTATTCTCATTTTCATTAATATCATCATCATTATTCTTATTATTATTTTCATCATTATAATTATTATTATCATTCTCAGTATTATCATTAAAGGGAGTGTTTGCGAAAGACCGTAAAAAAATCAATTTAATTTCAAACAAATCATTTAGATATTACAACCTATAGTCATCGATTATCTTTCGCCACATTTATATATGTAGCATATTCTGTATCAAGTATAATGTTATCTATGTTATCCATGCTAGTAATATAAATATCTTAATTATCTGTATGTTGACCCTGCCGGGATAGCCCGGTCAGTTTCATTCACCTGTATATAAATAAATTTAGTTCGATAGAATTCTTTGATTAATACGGATGTATACAGAGCCTTGAGTATTGGCTGAGAATAGAGAGCCTTGAGTTTTGGCAAGAGATAGAGTTAGATATGCACTCATTAGACTTTGAGTAGAGTTATCATTGAAGTTATAGCATCTAGATTTATTACATATATAGTTGATTTTTCATAATATGTTTTAATTGTTATTATCTGAGAGTTACTTATAAAAACATTTATTCCTGTTTCGAGGATTTTTGGTAATGAAGACGACATTTTCATATTTTCCAGGAATGTTCGAAAACAAGTTGTAAGCTAAATATTATTTTAAAAAACAAAATCAAAACTAGTATGAAATTTCAAATGTATACAAATGTGGCGAAAGATAATCGATGACTATAGGTTGTAATATCTGAATGATTTGTTTGAAACTAAATTGATTTTTTTACGGTCTAAGTCGTATGTTGCAATTTTCTCAATTTGTATTGACGCCATGTTATTCGGTATAAGACGTCTTTAACAATTTTCTCCTTATAGACGCAACAGATAGAAGTAAGATTAGTAGCGATCAAAAGCGCTTTTTATCGCATTAAGCCTATACCCCCTTTCATTTTTCGCGAACACTCTCTTTAATATTAATATTATCATCATCGTTTATCATTATTATAATTTTTATTATTATTGTTATAATTATTATTATCTTTATTATCATTATTATCATTATTATTATTATTATTATTATTATCATAACTATCATTACTATCATTGCTATCATTATTATCATAATCATTATTATCATTATTATCATTAATATCATCATTATTATTATTATCATTCTTATCATTATTGTCATTATTATAATTATTATTATTATTATCATTATTATTTTCATTTTTTTCAGTGTTATTAAAACAATTAAACAATTGCAAATTGGGGGTGAATATTTTCCAGGATTATGTAAGCAATTATGGATTTTATATGTTAAAAAATTGTGTCAGGGGTTATTTTTTGCAAATATTCGGGAGAATAACATCACTGCTTTGTTTTTTTTTGCTGCAAGATGGAATGAAATTAAGCTTCTTTTATTTATTATCTTTGATTTGGCAACTTTTTATACTTTAAAAAAAAGAAACAAATATTGGGTCTAAATTTTTATCTCAAAAATTTAAAAATATGAATATTTGAATTTTTCTTCTTCGTTATTTCAGCAACAAGAGCTGGAGAAGGAGTAACAATATCAGAGGATGGTTCTGGGTATTTTTACTGGACTTCACCGAGGTAACTCTTTTTAAAACATATTTTTTTGTTTAAACGCACGCATCTCCAGAGAAAATATTAACTTTTTATTTCATACTTTATTTTCATTAAATTATATTAGAAACCTTTTTTTAACATCTTATACAAAAAGGCTTAAATTTCAATATGGGTACTTAACTACTTACGGGTTTGAATACCATTTTTTCTAAATGCACTTATAGCTTACAAAGAAAATCCATAAAAAAAACCTTGTTTTTACCTCTTCACTATTCTTAAAAAAATTTAATTTTATTAACAGTTTGATATTCTATAAAAATCTTAACATAATTTAATTCAATTTCTTTTGGACCATAAACAGAATTTCTTCTGTTCTTTTGGACCATAAACAGAATTTCTTCTGTTCTTTGGGACCATAAACAGAATTTCTTCTGGCCCTCTGGCCTCCATGTAAAGTTACCCTTTCTCTGATCAATAATGTGGAAGATATTTTCGTTTAAAATGTTCAAAATGTTCAATTCTGTAAATTCCCACCTTTTCCTGCAGTAGAAATGCGCAAGTCACTTTTATAGGAAACTCACAATTGAAAATAATAATTTTTCACAATTAAAGCATTGATATCTGATTCATACTTGATCAGACAAAGCTTTTAAGGGTACTATTGTGTATTGGGCATTGTCATCTTTGCATGGAGAGGGTCACTTGAAAATACGCTTACAGTCCCTTTAAACATGCTAACTTCAGTGACTCCTACACCTGTGTGGTTGGGGTTCCTAAGAAAGGGGCCAAGTTTGGTGGACTTAAAGCTTTCATGACATATCCTGTAACACCATCTTTTAATAATGTTCAGGTAAAAGTAGTTTTGATGTAGTGTAATGTGATTGTTAATATAATGAACTAGCTTAAGTGCCCGGCGTTGTCCGTGGAATTCAAAAGAAAAACTATTTAAAAAAAGAAATTCATTAATTAATATTTTTTAACCTTTTAACCTTGGGTTCTCTAAAAAATTGTGAGCCAATTCGGTCCAGCCCTTGGGCCAGCTATAGCTAACAAATATATATACATACACATATATACAAGAGAATTATTATATAGATATAATAAAAATGCTTGTCCAAGCCCATGCCTGAGAAATTTACAAGTTGCTAATATCAAATTTTACGATAAAAGAAAAGAGAGATCGATTCTCATCTGTAGTGGTTGCTTTTCTTTCTTTTTCCGTTAGGACTAAATGTTTTATATGAAACGATATTTTATTAATTTAATAACGGAATTTGAAAACGGATATTAGGTCAATTAAAACAATGCTTAAGCTTTAATTTTGATTTTTTGTTAAAAGAATTGGTAGCCTTTTAAAAAGGATCGCAATTTTTTTAAATATCTTTCTTTACTTTCTCATTCTGGTTCTCAGGGTCATCTTCAAACCTGAAATTTCCTCAAAATGGGTACTTTGTTTATTTAACAAAAAATGAAAAAATCTAATAATATTGCCAGGTTTCAAGACGTTACAAGCAGTTTGACTGGCTTCATGAACAATTATCAGCTAAATTTGGAGTTACCATAGCAATACCACCTCTTCCTGATAAACAGGTTAGTTTTAGGGGTAATTAGTTTCAACAAATGATAGATTTGGAGAAATAATGAAAAAATTGAACCTAGAATGTAAAATTTCCTTCATTGCTGATCTTTTTACTCAAATTTCATTCAAACATTAGGTCAGGTAAACTTTAAGGTCAATAGCATAGTGATGACGACAATTTATAGTGATTTTGGGTTAAATCTTGGTCGATGTTAAAGTCATTATGATTATTTGAGTACAGCTATGGTCATAGTGATTTTGGGGTCAAGTTCAGGGTAAAAGTAAGGTCATAGAGGTTTTTAGGTCAAGTTTAAGATAAATGTCAGTCATAGTGATTTTGGGTCAAATTTAGGGTAAATTCATGGTTATAGTGGTCTATGGGTAAAGTTTAAGGTAAATGTAGGGTTAAAGTGATTTTGGGGTCACATTTAGGGTAAGTGTAAGGTCATAGTGATTTTGTGGACAAGTTTAGGGTAAGTGTAAGGTCAAAGTGATTTTGGGGTCAAGTTTATGGTAAATGTAAGGTCATAGTGATTTTGGGTCAAATTTAGGGTAAATTCATGGTTATAGTTGTCTATGGGTCAAGTTTAAGGTAAATGTAGGGTTAAAGTGATTTTGGGGTCAAGTTTAGGGTAAGTGAAAGGTCATATTGATTTTGTGGACAAGTTTAGGGTAAGTGTAAGGTCAAAGTGATTTTGGGGTCAAGTTTAGGGTAAATGTAAGGTCATAGTGATTTTGGGGTCAAGTTTAGTGATTTTGGGTCAGGTTTAGCGTAAATGTTAGGTCATAGTGGTTTTGGGGTCAAGTTTAAGGTTAATGTAGGGTCATAGTTATTTTGGGGTCAAGTTTAAGGTAAATTTATGGTCATAGTGGTTTTTGGGTCAAGTTTAAGGTAAATGTAGGGTCAAAGTGATTTTGGGGTCAAGTTTAGGGTAAGTGTAAGGTCAAAGTGATTTTGGGGTCAAGTTTAGGGTAAATGTAAGGTCATAGTGATTTTGTGGTCAAGTTTAGGGTAAGTGTAAGGTCAAAGTGATTTTGGGGTCAAGTTTAGCGTAAATGTTAGGTCATAGTGGTTTTGGGGTCAAGTTTAAGGTTAATGTAGGGTCATAGTTATTTTCGGGTCAAGTTTAATGTAAATTTATGGTCATAGTGGTTTTTGGGTCAAGTTTAAGGTAAATAAAAGGTCAGAGTGGTTTTGAAGTCAAGTTTAAGATAAATTTATGGTCATAGTTTTGTATGGGTCAGGTTTAGGGTAAAGGTCATGATAATTTGGGGTCAACTTTAAAGATAAATATAAGGTCATAATGATTTTGGGGTCAAGTTCAGGTAAATGTAATGTAAAAGTGGTTTTCAGGTCAATTTTAGGTTAATGTAAGATCATTATGGTTTTGGGGTCAAGTTTAAGGTAAATGTATTTAACATAGTGATTTTGAGATCAAGTTTAGGGTCAATGTAAAGGTCATGGTTATTTGGGGTCAACTTAAAAAGTCCAAGTCCAAGTTACGTTAAATGGGATTTTGAAGGTCATGAAGATTTGGTCAAGTTCTTGGTTATGGTGATTTTGAGGTCAAAGTCCGAGTCAAGGTTATGATGTTGTTAGGGTCAAGTTAAAGTTCAATTTCAAGATCATTAAGATTTTGGGACATGTTCTTTGTCAGTGTTAGGATTCAGGAAAAGGTTTCATTTTAGGATACATGAGTTACTCAGGTACTCAGGTACTCAGGTACTCAGTCAAATTCTAACTTGCTTGTAGAATTCATGTTAAAAAAAGAGAAGGGTTTTACAATTTGTTAATTATATTGTTGTTATAGGTGACTGGGAGGTTTGAGGAGGAATTAATAGAAATAAGGAGAATTGAACTGCAGAGTTTTGCTGATAGGTTAATTTCTTATCATTTTCTCATAGTTGTACTTTTGAAATACAAAGCTGAAGCCTTATAAAAATCTGTTAAAAACATTTTTAACTGCTGAAATATGTTAAAACAACACCTTAAATTTTATCTCATTGAAGAGCAAAATCTTTAGAAATTTATCAAGTTTATCTTTTTATGTATTATATGATTATTTAATTTTAGGATCTGCAGGCACCCTGTACTGTCCCAGAGTGCTGTTTGGAAACATTTTATTTCGGAAACGGATGAAAAGTAATTTTTATGTCTTATGCATATTAATGTCGTCTTCCCACTTTGATCCTTTCTGAATAAACCAGCCCGAATGGGTCAATAGATAGAAAACAGAACAGTACAGTACAAACGGACCCAACTTATTGAACACTTATCCTTCAGGGTAATCATAGATATGTTAGAATTGCCTGGGGACCAGAATACCCCTCCCACCTTCCCGCTCCAGCTATTTTGTTTAAATAAATAAATAAGTGGAGAACAAAAAAGAACATAACCTTACATTAGCCCAAGGAACAATTCAAAAAAGACGAAAAAGAACAACTAAGATAAACATCAAAGAGTTAGAAATGAAGAAACAAGCAAGAAACAGCTCAGGAAAAAGGACAGAAAATAGGAAATAATAAGTGACAGAATATAGGACAGGAACTTGGAAAGGAAATGGGACAAGAAAACGATATGTATCAGGATAAGAAAAATGACCTGTACAAGAACAGGACACATGGACAAAGAAAGGAAAAGGGACAGGGAACATGACAGATAGGAAAAGGAACCAGGACAGCAGAAAATGGTACTGAAAACTTAACAGGAAAGAATTATGACAGAAAGTTATACTCAAACTCTAAAACTAGGAGATGGACTGCAGGAAAACGTAAAGCTGAATCTGATCCCCTCGTGGGACCTGGCTTCCTCACTACACTGCAAACCCCAGGCAAATAAAATATATTTAAACACGTGATTGAATGTTAAATGATTGATTGTTTAATTGGTTGGTTGGTTGGTTGATTGGTTAATTAATGGCTGATTGATTAATTGATTGGTTGGTTGGTTCGTTGGTTGGCTTGTGGTTGGTTGGTTGGTTGGATGGATAGTTGCTTGGTTCATTAATGGCTGATTGGTTGATTGAGTGGTTAGTGGGTTAGTTGGTTTGGTTCGTTTGTTGATTGAATGATTGATTGATTAGTTGGTTGGTTGATTGATTGATTGATTGATTAGTTGGTTGGTTGATTGATTGATTGATTGATTGATTGATCGATCGAATGAGTGATCGAATGATTGATCGAAAGATTGATTAATTGATTGATTGGTTGAATACTTGATTGAATAATTCATTAATTAATTTATTAATTGATTGTTCTATTAATTTATCCCTTTATTGTTCAATTAATTTATTAATTGATTGATTAATTAATTAATTTATTAATTTATTGATTAATTGAATGATTGATTGATTGATACAGAAAAGGAGGGAAATGAGGACGCTATTGCTCTGTTTGTTCCTGCTCTGTTGAAACTAGATTCAGCAGTTAAGAATATGTACTCTTTAACCCAGGAGCAATCAAATAGGTAACAACAAGCAAAAAGATTATCAAGTACAATCAATGGCAACAGAAAAATGAACCAATGACGTCAAAAGTGTCAAATGTAACAAGAAGGACGACAATTTGTCAAATAAGTTGCTATGGTTTGCAAGAATAAGCTTAGATAAATATCGTCTTTGTAGGAATATGTAAAAAAATGTAGGTTTTCCAAAAAATAAAAAATAAAAACTACACAAGTAGTTATGTTAATATGTTTTAACGTTTTATATCCAAATTACAATGTTACTTATGTTACAATGTCAGTGCAATCCGTTTATTTAGTCAAGAGGACAGTAAATAAGAAAGTGCAAAAACTGAAAATAATTAACACAAAAAATTGCACAATTTCACTAAAACTTTAGTCTAAATTTATCACTTATTTATAATTTGATATTGAATTAACACTTGTGACGTAGATACAGCATGTACTGAGAGTGTACACAATACACATTCTGCGTTGCCATCTATTGTACTTGATAATCTATTGTGCCATTAAGTACAAAAGTACTATTTACAACAAATAATTCAAATATTGATATAAAATTCATTTAATACATCAAGTACTTATAGCAACTTTACAATAAAATAAAATTGACTAAGTTTAGTACTTTTAAAAATGGAATGCTTGCCTTTTACATAATGATTGAGCCTGGGGCTGACAACGAATCTAAAGCAGTGTAGATTTCACTGACCCAAGGGGAGGGGGCTCTCCCTCTAATCTGATAGTAATGTTTACATGCGATAAATTAATGAAATTGTTATTGGAAAAAAAAATTCTAATTGTATGTTTTCTTCTTGATACCTTTAAATCGTTTTTATAAATCTATGCTGGTTTTTTGTTACCAATGATTAGTTTTATATTTCATCTCATGTTTTTTTTTAATTTCTTAGATACAGATCTGGCTACAAGAAAAGCATTCAGAACTTAGGTAAGATAAAAATAATTTTTAAGTTTATAACAATAATAAAAATGTTTGTGTTTACAATATACAACAGTTTTGAAAAAAAAATTTATTGTTTAAATTATATTTGTTTGATTGTTTAGGAGGTGGGTTCCAGGGTTTAAGTGCGAGCTTGAACGGTCAACTTCCTCAGCTAGAGAAGGTTAGAAATCTCCCAGATCCGAAGGATTTTTTCCCGCTCTCCTTTCCTTGAAACCTGGTCCTTTTTTCAGCTCATTTGATCCGGATTCTTTTTTAGATCATAAAATCCGGGTCTAGTTTCCAGCTTACAAAATCCGGATCAGATTTCCAGCTTATAAAATCCGGATCCAATTTCCAGCTTATAAAATCCGGATCCTTTTGCAAACTGAATCCGCATCATTTTCTAGCTTTTTAAATCCGGATTCTATATTCAATGTTCAACTAAGGAAATTAATCTCATAGATTGAAACCAAAGTTTTAAATTTGTCCCTTAATTTTTACAATGGTAAACAAACATCTTTCAAGAATTATCCCTCACCCATGTTCACCCCGCAAACAAAATAACTTAAATTCAGCGACATTTTTTATAAAACATATGTTTGAGTTAAAAAAAGAATAATATTAAAATTGTAATTCCAATTGAATTTTAATAATATTTAGATCGGGACTAGTTTTGTGGAGCTAGGGGATGTTTTTGAAACACAAGCTCAAAGGTGATTTTCTAATAATTATTTTTTCTTTTACCAACCTCTCAGTTTTTGCAAAAACTAAGAAATAATGCGTCAGTCGTTGGGATTTTCCATAACAGTCTATGAACCGTTTTTAACTTAAAGTTAAATATATTCACCATACCTTCCTTCCTACTTTTCTAGCAAAACACCTAACTACATATCTACCTACCTGCCTACCTACCTATCTACATATTTTTAGACAGAAAGAGCTTGAGTCTGGTGCCGGAGATAAAGAAAGGTTTGCTGCGCGAAGCAGGATAAACACCTACAGGTTTGTTTATTTTTCTACTTTAATAAAAACTTAAACTTTTTTATCCCTTTTTGGAAATTCATAAATTAACTTATGACGTTTTACTATCTATCAATATACTTTTCCTGTCTGGGTGTTTGATTGTTTGTTTGTATCCATAAACGTCAAAACGGCTGAACCGATCCGGCCCAATTTTTTTGTGGGACTTCACAAGACGCCGGAAAAGGTTTATGAATGATCAAAATAAAAAATATTAGCCTAAAAAAAATAAATTTCAATTAAAATTTTGTAAATCCACGAAATTATTTTATAAAATCCGCTATTTTTTTGTTGTTGTTTTACTATGTACACAAAGAGAAAATGTTTACAATTGAAATAGACGATAGTCGCGAAGCGCCATGAAAGCCTTGTTTAAGTAGATTTGATAAATTTTATCCGATTTCTTATGCAATTTTTCCGTATAATAAGCCATGCTTACAGAAATACATTTTCTTTCATGCATTTGGTCGAAAGTTACTCTGGCATAAAAAAGTTATGTCAATATTTATTAATGGATAAGAAAAGACAACAGAGGCCGAATTTTAATAATTTGAGTCGCTCTCGAAAATTTGAGACACGGCTCAAATATGGTTGGTTCCACTTGAACTTGTTGTATTCAGTGTTTCGAGATTTGAGCCGGCGCTCAATTGGAACCTGTTTTTGGCGGTTCAGTGACGCGTTTTAAATTCTTTAAATTCGCCCTCGGGAATCATTAGCTGATCCATTTATGATATATATAAAGACTATAGAGAGCTATATTTTATTTTATCAAGTGTTTCAAGTATTTTTTTGGATAATTTTATTTAAATTTGTGCAGGATTGGGGTTCAGGCAGAGAAGAACTATTTCATGCAGGAGATACAGGAAGATCTAAGCCAGGCATCCCAGGTTAATATAACTGTTACATTCTTCGTTCTAAATAATTGATTTAGGATTAATTAATCGATTGTATTTGTTGCTTGATTGTCCCGTTTGATATATTCTTAAGTAATTTTTGTATCAGATTATTGATAGACTGAATTAGTAATTTTTTTTTATTATTGGTTGATTTTCAATCAACATGTTGATTTATTTTCATTGATCTTTTTCTGACCGATTGATTGGTTGATTGTTTGGTTTGTTGGTTGGTTGGTTGGTTGGTTGGTTTGTTGGTTTGTTGATTGGTTTGTCTGTTGGTTTGTTGGTTTGTTTGTTGATTGGTTGGTTGGTTTGTTTGTTGATTGGTTGGTTTTTTGATTGGTTGGTTTGTTGATTGGTTGGTTTTTTGATTGGTTGGTTTGTGTATTGGTTGGTTGATTGGTTGGTTGGTTGATTGGTTTGTTTGTTGATTGGTTGGTTTGTGTGTTGGTTGATTGATTTTATTGTTTGATTTTCTATTTAGACCTTTGTATTGGAGCAGATGAGGTTCTACCGTGAGATGGCGAGCAGGATGGAGAACCTGTACAAGGACTGCTGGGGGGATGCACCCCCTCCACCCCTTCCAAACCTCCCCGCCCTCCCTACCCAACCCAGGCCTGCATCAAACAATCTCAATGCATGGGGAGGGCATGATAATGGGATTTACGAAGAAATGCCTTGAAAACTAAATTTACATGATTTTTGATAATCAAACCAGTTCTTAAAGGACCGTAGACTTAAAAGATTTCTAATGACACTCCATTTTTAATAATCTGATCTGAAAACCTTTGCATGATTAAGAAAGAATGAAAAATCAAAATTTCCGACGAATTTTACTATTTTCAATTGCGACATTTATCACGGCGAAACGTTCCACATTATTGATCAGATAAAGGTTTAAACGGTTTAATTGTAACTAGTGCATGTCCCACTAAACTCGGGGATCACTTGAAATTACGACAGAGGCCAAATTTAAAGAATTTGAGCCGCGGCTCAAATATGGTTGGTTCCACTTAAATTTGTTTTCTTTGTTTTAAGATTTAAGCCGGAGCTCAATTGAAACCGATTTTTGGCGGATTTGAGACGCGGCTTAAATTCATAAACTTCGCACTTAGTCCCTTTAAAAGATTTGTTTTATTTATAACAATAACGATAAATATTGTAAAATTTATATAAAACGAACAATGTATACTATCGAACGAGCTTATATTTATATTTTGTACATCTTGTATGTAGGTAAAGACAATCAATTACAGGGTGTCCCCCGAAACATGACAGTAACAAGACAACTTGAAGGTCGATTTTACTCTTTGAAACAATTTTCGCCATTTATTCGTAAACCTTATTTTTGAAGTAAAAGTCAATAATCGCAAATACTCCTAGTCTTGAAATTTCCAAAAAGTGGTTTGCCTTTTTTGTGCTTTCAATATTACCGGAGAAATTAAGAATTTCATTCAGATTATGACAATTTTTTTTTATAGAAATCTGAATGAAATTTTTAATTTTTACGGTAAAATAAAAGCACATAAGGCAGACCATAAAAAAGAAATGTTAAGTTTAGGTGATTTTGTGGTTTTTGTCGTCATTTGTTTTAGTATTTACGTTGACAACCGAATGTCGCAAATAAATTCAAAGATAAAAGACGACTTTCATGTGGGACAACCTGTAACTTATCAGTTACTTCAATTTTTCACAGTCTGCATTTATTTGATTTAATTTCATTTATTTTTGAAATAATTTTGTTTTATTATGTAAATTATTTATTGTACTTTGTTTGTTTAAATATGAAAATTAAGAGAATGCAATTTTTATTCTAACTTTCGTGTTTTACATTTAGTTCTTGAATTTAATCTTAATTTTATATTTATACTTTTTCTTGTATTTCTTTAAAATGACATATATATCAAATATAGTATCTCGTAGTAAACAATATAATTTCGCAGGGAATGAAATGTCGTCTTCTAGAGATAAATTGTTGTATTTGTGATTTTTTGTACGATTCTTGAAACCATTAAATGAATAGTCCTGGCAATTCAAAATGTTGTCGACCTTTTTTTTTGCAAAATTATCGAAAATAGAAAAATCTGGTTCAATTTTTCAAATGAACCCAGAATAGTCAAACTTTAAACATTTTTGTAATTTTTAAGACGCAAGCTTAATTTGATTATATTTGTTTCACAATTGTATGCTTAATTTTATATTATTTAATTCTTTGAAAGTTTTTGTTTCCGATAAATGAATTTAGATCACAGTGACGTCATCTAGTGAATCTAAAAAGTACTTTTTTCTTAAAGGGAAAGTAAACGTAATATCATGTAACCCTGTATTTAAAAGACGGCTTGTCAATTTGGAGTTCTTTATAAAAATTGACTTGCGCATTTCTGCACACTCAACAACGGGGTTTAATTGTCAGAATCAAACGTTTTTCAATCTATGAACAATATCTATAACCACAGTGTTAATAAAACTAAAGTTTAACGGATACCTTTGCAGATCGACATGTCCCTCTTTTAATGGTTGGTCACTTGAACTGCTTGGAATACTTGAAATTAAAGTCCCTTGAAGTTTGCTTGACTGCTTGGAATATATTATTATTATTATTATTATTATATAATATATATATTTTACTTGTGATATTAAACTTATTTTATAATATTACAACAGATAAAGAAATATATTTATACTTGAAAGAAAAAGAAACAAATTTTTGGTAAAGAGTTTAAAATGTTTCACTCACGGAGGAGCTTGCATACAAGTTAATAAACCAATTTTTCAAGGCCTACTCAAACTTAAAAGTTTTACAGTGATAACCAGAAAATTTGGGATATAAAGTCGACATTAAAGGGAGTGTTCGCGAAAAATGAAAGGGGGTATAGTCTTAATGTGATAAAAAAGCGCTTTTGATCGCTACTAATCTTACTTCTACCTGTTGCGTCTATAAGGAGAAAATTGTTAAAAACGACTTATGCTGAATAACGTAGCATCCACCCAAATTGAGAAAATTGCAATCCACGACTTGGATCGTAAAAAATCAATTTAATATCAAACATCATTCAGATATTACAACCTATAGTCATCGATTATTTTTCCACGCATTCGCATATAGTTGATATTTCAAAATATTTTGTATTTGTTCTAGATACAATGCACTTAAAACGCCGATTAGTTTGTCCGTCAGGTGTCTCTACTCTCGATGCTCTTAATGATTTCACGTGGCAGAGACACCTAGCGGAAAAAATCGTTGTTTAAGTGCATTGTATATAAAAGAAGTAAAAAATATTATGAAGACGACATTTTATAAATTCTAATGTTACCCCCAGGGTACCCATTTTTTACAATTTCAGCTATTTCGGTCCAGCCATGGCAATCAGAGATATATACAAATATACAAATATATATATGAGCGAAGAGCTTTATTATAAAGATAAGAATTCTAACCTCCTGAAAGAGACTGTACAGGAAAATGAAAGGGGGTATTGTTTGAAACCTAAATATTTCAGGAGTTGATCGAGACCCTTGACAGTTCTATTTGGCACAGTTTTATAGCAATTTCTTGAGACTGGAACATCAGATAGAACTCTTATGGGTCTCGATCAACTCCTAAAATGCTTCGGTTTCATCCTACACCCCCTTTCATTGTTCCTTTACAGTCCCTTTAAAGATTAATATAAGTAAGAAAAGTGTAATGAGGAGTTAACATCCTTAATTTTGAAATAAAAAGGCACAAAACGTTTATTTGTCGAAAGAATTATTTTAAATAAAAAAACAAATCTTATCCTATTTTTTCAACTGTTCGTTCTTTTTTTAGATAAACTTTATTTCCTCTGTTTTTGTTTAATTAAGCTAGGTCAGCTCGGTAAATTTGGGAAATGCTCAAAAACATTTTTTTTTATTAAAAGTTGCTCCACTAAGAATGTGACTTTAGAGGAAGTTTAAGCTTAATTTCAAGTGATCCTCCATGCTAATATTCCGACCGGTGACCTTGAAAGGTTTCCAGAGAACGAAACATTTCCCAAAAATACGAAAAGTTTGTGAAAACCGTGAGTTTTATAGCTGCAACAATTAATTGCTCAGAAGAACTCTCTGCTCTGATAGCTTAATATTTGAAGTTTTATTATGTCATAAATAATTTCTCTTCCATAAATGTTTGATGAAATTTTCTCATTACTTTTTTAGCGAAATTTTCGCATTTTTTTTCGCGAAATTTTTGCATTATTTTATCACGAAATTTCCGCATTATTTTTTTTCGCGAAATTTTCTTATTATTTTTTTCGTTAAATTTTCTAATTTTTCGCGTGACGCGAACGAAATGCGAAAATGAAGCGAAATGGTAGCCAAAAAAAAATTCGCAAAAAATTCAAACTTTTCGCGAAACAATTTTTCCATTTCGCTGGAAACCCTACTTGAAACCTTTCTCAGAACAATAGTTTGTGGAAGATATTATGAGCGAGGCATGGAGGATCCCTTGAAAATACGCTTACAGTCCCTTTAAGTATATAAAGGAACTCTGCAATCTAGGTTTTTGAAGGTTATCCTATAATTAAATGGTTTCCACCCTCAGACCATTATAGAATTGTTTCATAACAGTTTTGGTGCACACACTTATTTTGCAAGCGCGTAGTATTAATAAGCAGTTCATAATTAGCATAATTACTAGTCTTAACGGATTAGAATTTTAGCAATTAACACAAGATTAGTGTTTTAGAATTCTTAATCTAGTCCTTATCCTATTATAAAGCTTGGTAACTAACCACCACTACCCTAGGATGATCATTTTAGGTATTTTATCCGATAGTTCAAAGAAGGTTTTTTGGGGAGAATTTTTCTTGCCATTGGATCCATAATTTACCAGATTCTTAATTCAAAATAGAACTGGGATGTATATGTATATCAGTAACCCGTCCATAGGCTGATGATGAAGGATTCTTCTAAGGCCTTCTTTGAAAGTAGAACCTAACCATTTCAGAATTGACACACTATATCAAATAAAAGGCTGCCTTTTCCATCTTGCGGTTATCATCTTTCTTACTTTAGCCTCTGATATAGTCACTATACGATATATATATATATTAATTTCAATTAAAAGAGAAAAAATGTTTTTTTGTCCCCCCCCCCCACAGAAGAGCTTTATTCCTAATTTTGATAAGATATTGAAGTTCAATAAAGCTCAATTATATAAGGCGCGAAGTGGCAAAAATGTTTAAGTTACCGTGGGGCAAATTAATACCTTTGAACTAAGAACAATTATTTCCCCATCAAGGATTTGGGGTGCTGCTGGAGCCCCTAAATCTTTGCTGTGTGGCTGTTAGAATCTATTTATATATTCAGATTATCCTGAAACCCCTGTGCTGTCTTGTGATTATACAGTAAAATATATGTTTTTCTTCCGAAATATTCGCTGTAACAAAGACGACATCTAAATATATTGCGGGATTACAGGATCCATTCAAGGATAAATTTATGAAGGGGAAAAGTAATTGTAAATTGAAAAATCATTATGAATCAATTCTAGCTACAATTCATACAGATGTTTGTAAATGGATTATCAGAATATATTCATTTTGTCCATTCTCACAATGAAACACAAGAGAAATGCATTTTAAGAGTTTCAGAGGAGTATTGT